GGGAAAAGTAACTCTGGTTTAATGTTACAATATGAATGATCCTTTACTCTCCAACGGAGGTGTTATAGAACTAGAGGAGGTTCTATAGAACTGATGTACATTTTTTTTTCTCAGGTAAGTAATTTAAATGCGCACTAGTAGATATGTATACTAGTTTATACGATACGACCAATCGATCCTTGTTAATTCTATCCAATTGACATAAATCCAATTGATGTAAAATCCCTACATTGTGACGATTGTAGCACGAAGAATTGCGTGTCTGCTTTCTGTGCCAAAAATCTAGATTCAAATTCCATCCAGAACATATCAAATTTTATTTTGACCGTCGCCTCTCGGAATGACAATTGCATGGCAAACCACCGAGAGTATCTTTGCTGAGAACTTTTTCTAATAATTCGGAATCGTTTTAAAACTGTAGATTTCTTGACAGATCACGATGTTAATAAACATTTTACTAGTACAAAAGAAGGGAATAGTATATGATAACAAAAATATAGAGTATCGTCCTACTATAACTTTGTTATCACGTTTCTCTTCATCCATGTCTGCCAAGTTTTTATTACATTATAGATCTGAAAGTAAAAAAACAATGTTGTTGTTATTATACTATTTCAATATAATTTTAACATTGATTCAATTATGTGTTGTATACAATGATTATGTAGTTATCTAAAGTAGTGAATTATTTTTGACATTTGGCTCACAATGTCGTATGGTAAATGTCATGACATACCACCGTGGCGCGGGTCACATGCACATATCGTCGCCGAACGTTACGTCACCGCGTCTTCACCGACGCGGCCGTCCACACAATCGCACTTGTGTGACCTTGTGTTTTGTATATATCATCCCTCCCTGCTTGCATCCTTCTCTCTCCGTCTCTCTCTTTCTCTCCCTTTATCGTTCCTCCCCTTCCGCACCCCGCGAGAATATCCCTTGCCTCTCCCCCGTTGCCCTCCTACGCCACATCGGCGTCACGTGTGGCATGAACAGGAGAAAGGGAGCGCGAAGAGGGGGCGGGGGAGGTGGCGAGGGGGGACAGAAGGGTGGTTTAAACGGGTGAACACGTCGCAGCTAAGGTCGCGGCGGACGTTACTAGGTCACTGGAGTGACCGCGATGCATTGCACCCGCTCCCGCCCCTCCCTCCAATCCCCCTTGTTCGTCGTCCCCCTATCTTCCTCCTGCCCTGCTTCTCCCGATGCCCTTTCTTCGATGCTTTGCCTTCCTTTGGAATCCGCAGAGGGCAGAGGGAACAAATAAGGAGATGAATTCTCCTCCTCTCTCTCGTTATCTCTCGCACGTAACAGAGCAATTTAGGGTGCATTCCACTTGACGCTCATGGAATCATTTCACCCTCGTTTATCAAATGTTAAACGAGGGCAAATAATGCTCACGAGTATCGTAAGCGTCAAATGAAAAATGCACCCTCAGTCGACAGTCTTCAGTCCTCTCGCGATCCTTGGATTATATCTACGGATATAGGTCTGTCGAGAGATTTTGTGAACTCTCGAGAATTCAGTGACGAAGTCTCATTTCTGTTGCGTTATTCTTTAACGATTGATTGTTGTCCATTTTTATCGTTGCACGGAAAAAAAGATTAGTTGCAGCAGCAAAAATTTGCGAGTGGTAGCTAAATTCCAGTCGTAACATATGGATACCTAACGTCATATTTGCGAGGTCTAATTTCCATTAGCTGTAAGGCCTAAATATTGTCATTGTAACAGACAAGCGTTTTGCTATTATGTCGATCTATTGATCATTGCAGCAAACGTTTTCTGTGTAACAGACAATTTGGTAGCAAATACAGTTTCAGCAAACCATATTTAGCCGTGGTAGAGACGATTTTCTTTTACACTGACATATCCGATAATTATGACAACTAACTTCATGCTGCTAAATAAATTGATCTGTAACAGACATACTTTGCTGTCACGTCCTTATATTAACTACAGCAACAAATTCTTTGTATGTATTAGCAAATTTCATAACTATAGTAGCTAATGCAATTTCAGCTAACAGAATTAGCTGTAGCCAGCAACATTTTTTTTTTCTGTGTGTAGATTGATTGTAACTTCGGTTTAATTTATTGTTTTATTTTTTCCTAATTTTTAGAACTAGAATTAAAAAGTAATAAATTAAATGAAGGTTAAAGTTGATATATGTATATTTATAAAAATGAACATTATTCATGGTCGATATACGTAAGTTTAAAACTTAAATCAAATTCACGAATTATGCAATGTGCTTATTCCATTGTCTTAGAATATTTTTATATGTAAAAAATTCCTTTTGATCCCCGACTAATTAGGTTTCGTACTCATGAATCGCTTTTGCGACTTTTGCGAAATTTTTAGTCATTGCATTAAAGCGGAAATTCTGTAAGAAATTTACGACGATATTGCGAAATCGGAGTGAGTTTTTTCTCTCGATGGGAATACCGTAGCCTGCTGCGCTGAAACCTCAAGTTCGAGTTCCCGCTTCGCTCGTTTACGCTTCGGCAAACCGGTTTCGACGATCTCAGCACCGATGCAAAATCGAACCTCGGTAGAACGTGCGAATGTAAATCGCATAGCTCCAAAGTACAATCAAAATTAACAACGGATGATCGGAACACCCACGTGAAATATAAAAATGTAAAATACTGTGCACATATCTTGCCTAACATTTAACTCTAAAATTGATTATTTCTTTGAAACTTCGAATTAAATTTTACAAACGAGATACGTCTTTCCAAACGAATTTAAATTACGTTGTAAAAAGATAAAATCAACTCTTTACGAATTAAGAATCAAGGTTCGTCTCACAAAAATTATTCAAGTCTCTTAATATAAACAGGGATTCATAGAAAAGTTAATTTTGCTTCCATATTAAATTCGATGAATATCTCGCAAATTAATATAAGAAATTACTATTACAGATTAAACATCTTCTGATGAAAGTTCTGAATCATGAGCATAAATTGAAGATTTAATTGTCAGTGGTATAAAAAATTTACTGCGTAGACAACAATAATTACTTCAATTGCGAAGAGAAAAACACTTCGTGTGGAGTCATAAAAACGAAGTACATGCGTGAATAGAAATAAGCCAAATTATCATATCAATATAAATCAGCAAACTGCAAGGTATCATCAATTCACCCTCCCGTATTCTATTCTACGAAGGTCAATGGCTTAGCTTTTCATTGTTCATTTGGCCTGTTTAGATGTGTGTCATTCACCTTGACTTATTCCTATTGTGCTTTTATTGCAAGCCTTGTAACATTTTCGTGTTTTTTGTATACCTCTCACACAGGAGGGTCTTTTCTTTAAATACATCTTTACGGGAAACAAAACAAATTTAAAAAAAAAAAGAATACCTGAATGGCCGAAGAAATAATAGTTAGAGAGGATCAGGAACTGTCTACAATTCTTTTAAGATTCTATTTGAAAGATTTAAGTCTCTTTAAAGAATGTATAGAGTATAGAACTACGAGGAACTTTAAATTTTTCAAGTACCATTTCCTGTACAATGTCAAATATATATATTTGCAGTTTTCCTCCACAGATTTGTAAAGAATTTCCTGTTTGAAAAGTCGCAGACAAAAGGTTATTCACCATTGTTAAGAATGTTTCTGATTGTTAAATAAATTCCACTTCTCAAGAAATATTGGATGATAGTTTTAGAAAGTATATTGAGAGTTGTTTAAATTTTAACATTTCTCCATGCAATTCACTTTTTTGCCTTTTCTTCTATATATAAAATATGTATTTTTTTTCCAGCCTTTAAAAATAAAAATAATATATTTTCTCTATAAGACAATGTTTCTCGTGCACGTAAGTTATCGTCGAGAATATTTATTAATAATTAATGATCGATAACGTTACTCTTTTACAAAAAAAGATTAAAGATTTAAGGCAAAATAAGGAGTATAGACGGACAAAGGCATATTTTTCTGGCGACCAAAAACGGACGTGGTTTTGCGGTCGTCACTGCGGTTTCACATTGCTCCCAACAGGATGAACGACGTCAACGACGAGAAGTTAAAGTGACGTCGAGAGAAAGTCGAGAAGATGCGAGACGTGTTTTACTTTCACTTCTCGCACATATCCGCTATGCCGTCGTGTCATGTTCACTCGTAGCTGTAGAGTGACGAATCATCGTTTTGAAAATTCACTATAATCGCAGGGTTTTTTGCCCTGTGATTATTTACGCGTATTTTCCACTTTTTGTACCCTTCGTTTTTAATCTTTATGAAATTACTTGGTAAGATAAAAGTCGTGCGTATATAAATTTTGTAACTTTAAAGCTGCAAAAGATTAACATAGTAGTCAACTACAAATTAAAGACAAATCGAAACTAATAGAATCTGCAGAATCCCGTTAACATGGTTTTAAAATCATATTTATATGTGTCTAGATTCTAAACTTTAGAATAGGATAATATTCTCATAAATAAAATAATTATAATTTCACTTTCCCTACCGTAAGCACTTGTTAAACTTTCTTCGAAGATTAATTTTCGTAAAAAGAAACGAACGGTGTTTGCAAAATAAATGATTTAAAAAGTGGAATATGGGAGAGAGGTGAGAAAAAGGGTGTCGATTTTTTTTTTAACGTAAAAGTTGAAGACTTTAAGAATTGAAAAGTTAAAAATTTAAAGGCTTCAAACGTTCATTAAAGTATTTATAACAACAAAATTCCAAGATCAGAGAAAGTTTCGATAATAATAATGTTCTCTTCAAATGAACTCTTGAATAGATACGTACTTAAATAATTAGAATATTCTAAAGAACTATGCACGCGTAGAAGTGTGTCGCAGGCCGGACGCTATTTTACTGAGCTTGATGGACTGAAAGCATTACTTTTATTTCTTTCTAAAGTTTTTTTTACTTACAAGGTATTTGGTTTACTCCATGCATCACTCTGACATGCAGTTTTCTCATTAGGTATATAAATTATGGTAATGATTCGGTATTATATATAATAATTATAATTATAATAATTATTATTTATCATTATTATTAATATTAATATTATCATTGTGTCCAGTATTTCCTCTGCCCTTATTTTTGCTACTCACGGAGTGCTTTGCTCTCTTCTTCCTCCTCTCCTCATTCACATACATTTCACCCAATCTCTCTTTTCCTCTCCTTTTCCTTCTCCTTTCAACAATAATTGTCGCTTCCGAAGGAATGATTCGAGAACTCCGCCGTATTGACTTACGTCGCGCGAGACTGATAAGGCGTGATCGAATATTGATTAACTGAAAGTGACGCACGCGTCCTGAAATTAATTTACGGTCCTGCAATTCGCAGATTCCTTTCAAGAATTCCATGAATTTAAGAATACGGAAATTTAATTGTCGAGAAAACTGAAAGCTCTGCCGTCTTCTCTAAACATCTAGGATACGAAGAACTGAAATCTTTCGAAGAATTCACGAAGCTTCGTGCCGATGCTGAATATTTACGCGCGTAAAATCATCTCATTATCGCATTGTATGCAGTCTCGGAGTAAATGGAAAATAAAAAATGTATCTCTGCTTCTTATTGCATATGCATTCGCATATAAACATCGCATATAAAGTCACGGCTTCACTCTATTCGTAGAGTTAATCGTGGTTTACGCGTAGACATGCAACATCGCTTTACGAGATCGTTCTTTGAAATTGATCTGATTATTGACCTCGGGGGTATGGAATTAAAAAAAAATACGTGCGTCGAATACTTTGTGACGATCGTAGATACTTCAACAAAAAGTTGCGACGGTGATAAATAGAACATCACGAGGGAGTCTCGTTAATTATTTACGACATGTGACATCGCGAAGGGTGAATTAGAAAGTGGACGATGTGTATCAAGAAAGTTTTGCATCATCTTCTTGTTTGTAGAACGGCAGTTTCAGTTGTGTTTGAAGAGCGGCGAACGAGGAGCCGTGGAAGAAGAGGCGTTCGAGTATTCAGAGAATCGGCAATTCAAGGATTCAATAACGCAAATATTCAACAAAAAAAAAATTATCGACAAAATTTTCTCGAAATTCTATAAACACAATAATTCTATTTAAATTACTAATTTTGAAAACTTTAAAGCTTTATCTTCTCAAATTATAGAAATCCTCAATTTCTTCAAGCTTTTAAATCTTGTCAAATTCGAAAATCCAAAGTGCTCAATGTAATTCGAAGAAACAAAAATCCTAAATACCGCAAGTATTAAACGCCTCGGGAATGACATATTGATCAAAGAAATTAATAAAAAAAAAAAAAAAACGAAAAAGACAATTAAAAACCCGTCAAGAGTGCCAGGGATACAAAGGCTTATCACTAGATTCGTGAAAGGTCCTTTATTTCTAATAACACTGAGTATATACTTTCACGTTTCCTCGTCCGCTCCAACATACTTTATACAGGAGATCCATAATCAAAAGGTGGTGCAAAACTCTTGTTAACATTCTGTGAACGCGCGAGATTGTCCGAACAACAACAACAACGGCGAGGATCCAGCAGTCGTCAGACGAGGATACGAACTCGTCGGTCACTTGGTAAAAATCGTTACCAGAACGGGAGGAGCATAAAGAAACGAGATATAACGAGACCGTGGGCAAGATGCGGGAAGGATTTGAAAGAGGAGAGAAACAAAGTGAGAGAACTCGAGGATTCGAGGATCCCAGAATCTCCATCCGAATCTCCGGGGTCATGCGAATCCTCCTCTTCTTTCCTCTCCTTTTCTCTCTTCTTCAGCAAGAGTCGAGGATGAAGTGAGCGGCTGTGCTCCGTCCAAGCAATCGCACAATAGAGTAATTCATCCATCCATCCGCGTCCGTCCGTCCGTCCGTGCATCCATCTCTATACTACCTATCCGTCCGTCCGTCGTCCGTACGTCCGTCGGTCCCATCATCCGTTTGATGATTCAGAATCGACGGCGCGGTGCCGCGATGATCGACAGACTTCTGGCGGGCACGAAAGTGCTGACGTTGTTGCTCGTCGCGTCACCGAGCCGATCGGGTCACTTCTTGCTCTTCTTGGTGGGCGGCTCCTGCGTGTCCTGCGAGTCCTCTTCGGTGTCCTCGCTATCGGTAGGTCGTGGCGTCGCGTTGTTGCTGCTGTCGTTGGTAATGAGGGAATCATTCGTGTCCTCGCTGGCGCCCACGACGGGATGATCGCTGGCGGTGATTGGCGTCGCCGGTTTATCCATCGAATCCTCGGTGAAAGATGTCGTCGTGCTGTTCTCATCGATCGCCGCCGGATCGAGCGCCGCCGGCGTGTCTTTGCCATTCGCCACTGTTTCTTGATTACTATCATCCGACGGCTCTGTCGCCTCGCCGTTGCTGGCGCTGTGCGAATTGCCATTCTCTGTCGAGCCCGGGATGCCGTCGAGCAGTTCCGGCTTCAGCTCGGATGCCACATAATGTGTCCACAACGCCAGTTCGACTCTATGTGGGCTCCATGTCTTGCCATTTGATGCTGGAACAAAGAAAACATTTTTCATGGCATTTCAAAAACTAAAGCCTTCTCTTGTAAAGGAATTTTAAAGATGTGAAAATATAAAACCCAAAGATTTGGCAATGGAACAAGTGATAATGACAATGTCATTAAATTCAAGGAAATACAGTAATACGTAATATTTTACTTGAAAGTACGGAAAGATAAAATTAGAGAGGTACCCAAGGATCTGACGATGGGAAACCTCGGCCATGAAGAAATAACATGAGAATTTCATTCCAAGGACTCGATACGGTAAACGCGCGCGACTCCGGTATTGCGCGCACGCGGCAAGTAGTGATTCATAATCGCTTACCCTGTTTGTTCAGCCTCTCGACGGTGTTCTGAATGTGCTGGACGAAGTTTAAGTATTCCTTAGTGGTGTAATCGATACCCTCGATCTCCGGTATCGCCATCAGGCACTCGTCCGCCATGAAGGGCGCGTTCTCCGGCGACGCCGCGGCGAGCAGGGCCGATGCCATCGTGGTACCGACGCCCTTCAGATTCGACAGCGCCGTGATCGCTTGCTCGAGATTCGGGAGCTTCTTGAACGCCTTCTTTGTTTCTGCCATCACGGCGCGCGGTGTGTTCACCTTCACCAGGTAGGACAGCTGTGGGTAGAACTTGCCGCGCTGAAAACAAAATGGCAGTCAAGCACCCGTTGGAACATCTAGATCCTGGATCAGGTTTTATAAAAATCTTTCTATTTAGATCCATCGAGATGTTGCTATGTTAGGTTCAGTCTCCGCCAAATCCAAACTTTACGTTCAAACAACTAATTACTTTAAAGGTGTAAATTACGTATAATAGATATAAATCTTCTCGATAATTATATTTCCAAGGAAATAATATCGTTTTTTTTTTGTCCCCTTAATCGATTTCTTTAGTCTTCTCTATCAATGTAATCTTTTTATCCGTGAGAACTGGTTTCGCGCAGTCTATAAATTATAAGTTACAATATCCTTTTTCTTCCGAATCGCGTATGTGTACCAAAAGAGATAACAATAGTACTTCACATCATTGTTCACGCACCGCTCCCGACTCTGTCATGAAAGCAGTTGATAAAATTCGCTATTTTTTAGTTAATAAAATTCATTTAAATTTAATACTACAGATAAAATCGTGTTCGAACTTGGCGGAGTCCGATCCTCGGCGCAGTTGACCAAACAAGGAAAAAGCGGCTTACTATTTGCTTCCATTTCATCGTCTGCACCAGCTCCTCGTGATTGAGATGCGCGTCCTTGCCGCGTGCCTTGATCTTCTTCGGAAGCTCATTCTGATACCTGCCAATACAAACAACAAGATCCGTGCGATCAAGATTGATCTATCGTTCAAGTCAAGAGGAGGAGCGCGCACAAGCATACATATTACATACACACACACATACAGTCTCGCGTACGCATGAGCGAACGAACAGGCGTGACGTAATCGCGCCGCCGCCGTCGCTGCTGCGGAATACAGGAATTCGTTAAAGGCTCGATTAAAAATACAAACGCTGCCGCAAGAAACTCGACACGCCCCTCGTCAATGATTGGAGGATACCCATCTTTATCGCGCACGTGGATCACACGTGGATTCGCGCTGTGACGTTCCATCTTCCTCTCTCAATACCCATTACAACCGGAATACAAACACTCGAAACTATTACAGGAACAATGGAAACTGATGTTATAAAATTGAAGACTATCAAAGCGACGTCTACAATCAGACTTTAAAGCGTAAAGCGTAACCTTTAAGCCTCAAGCCATAACAAATTGACCAATCATAGATTATTCTTCTCATATTCGACTGTGATTGGCTAGTTTCTTACAGCTTGTGCGAGGCTTAAAGCTTAAGTTTTAAATCTTAAAATCTCATTGTAGACGCCGCTTCAGTGAAAATGGATCAAGAAAGATTCAACATAAATGAGAGAGAGAGAGAGAGAGTGAAGAGGGCCATATTCGGCAAGACAGGTTTTGGTACTTAATAATATTTTTGTAAATTTTCTCAATTTCCATTTTACGTAGACTGAGTGCCAATTATAAAACTGAAGACTGTTGCAAAATTAAAGAAACGTACGTTGTAAAATTAAAGAAAGCCTAAGCGCTATTAGAATCGAAGAATCAAAAGATTTAAGGATCCGGATAATTCGAAAGAATAATCAAGATTGAAAGATTACACGCTCGTTTTTTATACCTTTTTCCACGCTGACAAATTATTAGGATAATTCGCATCATTTTATACCGAATTTCGCAAAATAATAAATCGGATTTCAACGTTACTGCAAATAAGCGGGATTTATCATCATTCAATACACTTTCAGAAAATCTTGCATTTGTCCGGGAAATTATTAAATTTGCAACGCGCGTATTGTGTTATCTCGCGAAATCTGTTTAAAATCAATTATAATGTGTAAATCGACTAAAATTTATATATTAAGTAAGGTTTTCCATAATTCTTATTACAGAAATACGTATTAAATAAATAATTAGTGATTATTATACAGCGCGATGACCTCTTTTCTTATATAAATTAAGAATTATTAAAAAATCATTCGATAAAATATATTAAACGCTTAATCACATTGAACAAACAGAAATTTTGAAGTTAAATCTGAATCTCCAAAATTTGAAAATTTACTCTTTCCGAAGCGAAGAAATCAATTTCAAAGGTGATAATTGCTCCACGCACCGTTTTTTTAACGCGCATCGTTAAAAGTGCCGTATATTTTTCCTCCCTGCGTCTCTGCCGTGTTTTTTTCCTCTCTGCAACTCTTCCGTTTTTTTTTTTTTCGAAATAAATTCCCACGTCCGCGTTTACTCTTTAAAGAGATATTTTCAATATTTTCCGAGCCAAATAGCAACGTTTCACAAAGTTGAAACGCGCGCTGCACCTCGTAATACCGCATATCCGCACACGGCTTGGCACCGTGGAAAAGCAGCCTTGACACAAACTGGCCTCAATGGGAATGAAAACAACGGTACTCCACTTCTCCTGACCCCTCCGTCGCCCTCGCCGTCGCTTCTGCAACACGGAAGAAACTGGCGCGTAAAGTCTGTCCTCCCTTTCCCCCTATCCAACACCAGCCTCTTACTCGTTCGTTCTGTCACTGTTCCCTGTGTATACTTCTTTTTCTTACAGTCTCATCGTAATACATTGCGATCGATAAAATGATCTTGTTCGATCCCATCACGCTTGCGAAAACAAACAATATGAGCTTATCATCGCACGAGATTAAGGAAAAAAAGATGTACTTATATCTTGCTTTTTTTCAAAAGACTGTTCTTTTACTTCCTATGTAGATTTATTCATTCATTATTTTCAATGAAATTGATATTTAAACGCGTTCAGAACAGTTATAAAGAAATTATCCTTTTAAAATTAATTTTTTTATCGACGTACTTTTTATTTTTATCATCTTTAAGAAGGATTGTCTTAAAACATGATTAAATTTTGGGTTTTATAAAAATTATTTATTCATTTTAAATGCGAATAATTTATTCATTACTTATTAATAATATAATAATATTCTTTATCTAATATTAACGGAAACTCTTAACGATTATCGATTCTTTTAAAATAAATTATTTAAGTTAAAAATAGAAGAGTCGCGAGAAGTTATTAAAGCCACATATTGGAAGCTGTTCAGTACTTTGAAGGAGTTCCCATTTTTTATGATTTCCTTAAATCCTTAGATTCTTAAATAAAAATGTAACATACGATCCTATTAAGATTCGTAATCTATAGTTTTATGTTTCTGAATTTTGTTCTGTTTAAATTCGTTTGATATTTTTTTTTCCAAGTATTATATCGAAGTTTATACCGGTTATTGAAGTTTCTTTGTTCTCGAATATCGAATACTGTAAGTATATCCTTGGCGCACTTTAAATTCTTATATCCATAGAGGTCTACAGTCTCGAAAATGTTCTGTGGATCTAAGAATATTAAAATTTTCAAAAGTAAAAGCAAATATTTATATACTCGTTTTAGTTATGACCTATGAATTTAGGTACAGCTTCATAAAATTTACGAAATAAAATTCTGAGATCTTTTTTTAGTAAGTTTTAAATTATCGGAGTTGTATTTTTACAATATAAGTTAATATTACAGATTACTTAAATAAAGTATCGAGTGTAATTCTTTAGATAGAAATATAATATTGGCCAATATTAAAAGACAGTAATTAATGACTTATTTTAAGTATTAAAAGCACTGCTCTGTGCAATACTTTTAGTACTTCAAATAAATAATTAATTACTGTCTTTTAGTAATAAATTAGCTGGAATTAAATTTCTGCGCGAGAGATAGGAGCTATTATTATTATTATAATATGTAATCTAAACCCCTTAATCTAATATCGTCAATTATTTGAAGTGTTCTATTAATTAACGAATTTCTTTATAAACAGATAATTATTGTTCATAAACAGAACGAGTAATTAATCATTATATAAACATTCTTTGCGTGATATCACGAATTACGTAATCCTTTTGATTAATCTGTCCTTTTAAATTTTTTGTAAGTATTACGAATGTAATTACGTCACGTGTAGATTAATCATTTTGTCAAAATCAATAATCGTATCAGTGATGAAACAGGAAATTATCTACATTTCAATTCGCTCACGTTTTACATGTTACTTACACAAATAATTAACGCACGCGCTGCAACTTACAATTCATATAAATAAAAAATGCAAATGTAAAACATTTCTTTAATTAATATACACTATAGATACACAAACATACAATTATATATTTCCATAAACATATATACACGGTGATTTATTTATTCCCTTCTTTATCTCTTTATGTTTTCTAAAAAAAATCTTCGATCAACTAGATGAGATAAAAAAAAGAATAATCTCCGGCAATCGCATTCCTCATCGACCTAGTTTCATTTGTTCGTGACCAGTAACTGAAAAAAGGGGAAAAATGGGATCTGCATTTTTTTTTGTATCTACTTGTTCGGAATATCATTCTATCGCGGGACAGCTGACCACGTGACGGCGAGAAACTGTCCATGAGAAGTCCGCGGGGTAAATCTCCCTCGATCCTCGACAAGAGTGAGCCGCGAGGGTGACATACGGGCGCGCATACGCGCGACGTTGCCGCTCTCTCGCTTCGCTTCGCTTCGCTCGCTCGCTCGCTTGCTCGTTTGCGAAGAGCAGTGCGAGCGGGTTCATTGTCCCGCGTGCGCCCCGTGGTAGAGCGCCGTTTCCTCCCTCGGG